TAAGGCAGGTAGTTATTGAAAATTTTGAATCAAAGATGGCCTTTCTGTTTAGAAATTTTGAATCTACTGAAACGAATTTTTCCAAGATCTAAGAAGTTATAATTCGTCTTTCTCTATCTAACAAACCTCCGATCTTTTTTCTTTTTATTTTTATTTTTTGTTTTTTTTATTCTCTTCCACGTACATCTAGGATCTGTTACCCCCCCCCAAAAAAAACGGGATTTGACCATACATGATTTACCATCCTAAAAATATGGGATTTGACCACCCTATATTCCCTGCCCTTTATGTATAAGGCAACTCCTAGATTCGTTTTGCAAGTATACGGTCAGGAGAAGGAGCATATCCACCGTCCATTTGTAACCGCGTCCAGCTCTCACAGTGCACAACTCGTGTGTCGCTCCACTATCTCAAGAAACGGAGCAAGATGCACATATTGTGTATAGAATGGTGGGCATCGTGTAGGTTATCATATGGCAAATACGAACCCACTGTCTTTTAGCATTTGGATACCCAATGAAACGATTATACTGAGTGGACCCAAATTTGGCATTGTATTGAATCTACTGGTGCACAGCCTTTTTGTGCTAGAGGTGGAAATGGGTCGGGTCCGGGTCTGACTTGGACTTGAGTGGAATGGGGTCTAGGTCTAGAAATAAAAAAAATAAAAATTATTTTATATAAAGGTTTTGTTAGGCCACCGCCTACACATTGAGTGTACATTTAATGTATTCAACATTTTTAGACACTAAAAATACAATTGATTTATATTACAAATTTTTTTTAGCAAGAGCATTTTTTCTCATTAGGAAAGGTATAACAGATATTTTAATAAAAAAATTGTGCCATTCTATTATTGGTTAAAAAATAACTAATATTCTATGTACGTGATATCACACATTATGTCGGTAATGTAATTGTTCACTATAGTTAATAAATGTTTGTTTTTCTATTGAGAGCTTCTTTTTTACCTTTAAATAATTACTTAAAATACCTTTAGAGAAAAAGTTACTACATTATAGGAGTAGAGCATTTTATATAAGTGCAAGGCTTTAAATAATCAAATTAGGGTGCCCCTTAAAAATTTCACTAGAAGATATTGTTTTGATGCCCAAATCTCCTCCAATTGATCATCTTGACATCAAGATGCATGAACATGAGAAAAAAAAATTGATTTTCAAGTTTTGGAAATAGTGCATTTTGTGATGCATTTTTTTATTGTCAATTTTCAAGATATTTAGAGAATGGGGTTTGGGTCGTGGTGCTAGCACGGTATAAGCTTCCATTCTCACCTAACACATTAAAAAACCACTAACGACCTAAAAAATAGGTAAGAGCTCGTCATCCCTACTAAATTATCCAAAAATTTTCAAGTTTTATAACTATAGATAAAAATATATTTTAAGACTATCACAAATATTTCCAGTATTGAAACCACATTTTCGATATTATTTCAAGGTGCGTTTTACTTCGATTGTTTAGAAGCTCGTCTCTATACAAACCGCATCGTGTAAAAGTAACCTAACAAATATCTAATTAATACTATTTGACTTCTATAATAATATATTTGACTCTTATAATACCAACCCCAAGCAAGACATGACCCAATCTGATAGGTTCAAGCCAGACTCAACCCAAGATAAGTCCAAGCCATTTGAACCAGGCCTTGACGTGCCCCAGTCCAACGCCCAATGCCCGGACCCGAACCCGTATCCATTTCGGGTCGACGTGACCCAATGGCCTCCCCAAGTGCGCAGTGTCCGGTATTTAATTAAGTAGGAAGTCCGTGCTCTTGGGGTCGAGAATGTCCTTGCGGTTGATAATGCTCTTAAAATAAAGGATGGTGGTTATTGGCGTTCAGGGGCTTTGTCAAGGATATACCACCTCAAAATCTTGTTAGAAAATTAAGGCCCGGTAGCTTAACCCTGAGATAACTTGCAAATCTATTTCTGCCCCTGAGTATAGATTTTGATGTTCAAAAAATATAGTAGAGTTAAAAGTGTAGAGGATCCGAAAAAACATAAAATGTACTGCACAAAATTGCATTTAAGGATACATCCAACTTCTCTATCCAAATGCTAGAGAAAATATGTAGTAATCCATTTTCAAAATTTAAATGCTCGTTTTACAAGTATTTTGATGAAAGGAATGTCTATGTTAAGTTAGCCTATTCATTTCTTTTTGGTCGTTGTGGCTAAATAACCATGATTTTCCAAACATAAAATCTTAAAACGGAAAAAAACCCTCAATTAGCTAAATGTGAGTGCTACTTTGAACTTAGTGCAATCCATTATGTTACATTTTTGGAATTTCCTGCAATAAGTTTTTCTTTATTTGTTTAGAAAAATTCTAAAAGAGGCATTTACTGGAACTCCATGCCTTATGGAGGATGTTATCCCATTTTCAAATCGGTTTATTCTATAGTGGCAAATGCTAGTTACAATATGTATTTGAACAATTCATTCATTAGTAAAGCTGAAATCAATGGAGTTGTCATGATGAAAAGTTCAAACCTCAAGTTAGGGGACACAAGCACTTATCCGACAGTAAGTTATCCGATAAAAAGACCCATTTTCCATAAAGAAATATGCTTGAGTTCTAAGAACAAAGGGGAACTTAGTTTTGAACAATTCAAATAGAATTGGGAAAGGAAGCCCCATTAAAAATGAGAGGAGGATGTTGGGAACTGAGGCTATCTAAATTACCCATTGTTGCGGTGAATCCCCATTACAGCAAATTTAACACCTCGAAACCAATACACCTTTCACCAGCAAATTGATTTCAAGAAATCCATATACCCAAGAATGAAATATGGTGTAGTAAATTTGGTGTAGTAAATTTGGTAAAAATATGATGAAATTAAAAAAAAGTAAAATAGTAACTCTAATGGCACAACCATACACTACAAACCATAATCAAACCATCATCAACACGCAATATACGTGGTTCAACTAAAATCGGGCTACATCCACAGGAACCCGGCAGGAGATGATTCACTATCAAAAGAAGAATAACAAGTTTTGGGTTTTATAGAAAATACATCATACAGTGATAAAGAAAAGTCAAATTGATATTTTCTACTAGAATAAGACCATGGATCAACTCCCTTCTTTATCACCGACCAACACACGCCAATGAAATCCAACCCAATACAAAGCTACTATAAAATTAGAAATTTGTCAAAACCCTCAATCTCTATTCTTTCCTCAAAAATCATGTTTTTCCTCTTCATAAAGAGCCATCTGCATAAATTCACATTATTCCTCCTCTCTCTCTCAAGGAATTTTAAATGCCCCATAGAGTTAACTTTTTCATTAGGCTAAAATAGCCCTTAGCATTTAAAGGAATATCTTAGGGTAAATGGGAGATGATTTTGCATCACCATCCCTACAGAGGAAAGGAAGGCGCATGAGGAAGGAAGGGGAAGTGGAGGAGAGGGCACGAGCTTGGGAGGTTGAAGAAAATAGTAGAGCGAGACTGGTTAGGAAAATAAATAAAGATAGAGCTCCCGTGGTGTGAGCGGCCCTGTGGGCAAAGCTTGCATTTGTAAATCTTTGAGCAAATTATGTATGGACACTAACAGAAGATTACCATTTGGTGTCTAATTTGGCCGAAATTAGGAGCACACCACGCCCCACCCACGGCCTTTTTTTTTTTCCCTCTGTTTGGCATTGTAAACACCGGATAGGGGGTTATTATTTGCACTCTCCAATTTCCTAATCCCTCTTTCTCATAAATTCTCGGCTATTAAATCTCTCTCTCTCTACAAAAGTACAAATATTTTATTTTCTACATTTAATTCTCTGCCATTAAAATCCAGTTTCCTAATCCCTCTCTCTCTCATATATTCTCATCTATTAAATCTCTCTACAAAAGTACAAATATTTTCTCCTTCTACATATGATTCTTTGCCATTAAAACCCCCCTCTCTCTCTCTCTCACTCACCCTGTAAGCCAAAAGGAAAAGGGTGGGAAATTTGGAGAAAATGGTAGAAGGATCGCCATTAATGGTGGATGGTTGACCTTTTCAAGTAAAATCTTTATGTGCAAGCATGCCCCCTCCTGATCTTAATAAAAACACGGAGTGGGTTATGTACCATGGTATGTGGACCATCTAAATTCTCATACTCTCTTTCTCATGGCTCATAGTCCTCTTCGTCTTTGGTTGCTCTGTTGGATTGGACCATTGTTAATCTCTCTCATTTTGCTGTAATCCCTAACCACTACTCTCTCTCTCTCTCTAGCCTTAATTTTCTCTCTACGTGGTGGATCTTGATTACAATGGTGTTGATACTTGATTGGTTTGGTTAATTGGGGTTTAGGGTTTTTGATCTCGGGTCATTAGATCAATATGTGAAGATTTTGCCATTCACTTAAGCTGCGATTTGAAATCAATACAATTTTTCTTTATCCTTTAGAGCGCAAGGGAATTGCTGTGGCACTAGCTCAGGCTCCAGCAACGGTTATGGCTATGGCAATGCAACTGGTCATATAAAACTTTTGAGAGTGCATAATGTAAGACCACTTATTTTTGGGTAGTGAGGTCACAAACTCAAAATCACCCGACATCTTGGAGTGTGTCACCAAATTAAAAATAAAAAATAAAATCTCTGGGACATTGAGCCTTGTCAATGGGATACCTCAATGACCCAATTTCACATCCCACGGCCATAGCCAATTGGGATATCCTAGTACCAAAGATAAATGATCCGATTGTATATAATTCCTAAACTTTTTCTTGTTTTAAAATGGAAAAACATTAGTTGTCTGCCGTCCCCCATTTTGGGGCTTCAATTGGAGCCGTAAATTTGACACGCATTCTCTTCCATTGGAGCCGTAAATTTGACACGCAAGCCGATCAACCATCATCATGAAAATACTACCAAAACAATTATTGGAATCTGTTCTTATTCCTTGTCACAACATCAAACACAATTTCTTAAAATTATTTCACAAAACATAATGTAAGAACATTGGACTCAGAAGATAACCAGTTCTAATATTCCAAAAGATGGAAACAAGTACTCATTGCTACTTTAGGGAAAGTTTGGATGCAGGAATGAAGCAGCACGTATCAGACTTAAATGAAAAATAGCAAAGTAAACACCCTTTTGTGAAGCACATATCAGACTTAAATGAAAGATAGCAAAGAAACACCCTTACCCTTTTGTGAAGATAGCTTTGCTAACCTAAAATGAATATAGCAAGGAAAACACCATTACCCTTTTCTGAAGATAGCTTTGCTAACCTAAAATGAATATAGCAAAGAAAATATACTCTTTTGGGAAGAATGAACTCAGAAAGGAGCATTAAATACTAAAAACATTGTAATTATTCCAATGTCATCATGCAACAAATGAACCCTGTGAATAGGTTTCCTTATAAGCAAACATCCAAACAGATGCTTAACATAGGGGACAGTTTTTTACTGCATTTAAACGAGACCAACTTTTGAATTCCACAATCCTCGTAGTTGCAAAAATGAAAAGACCTCACAGAAAGTATAAGCAAATAATAGGAATCAATAGCTTATTCACAAAAAAGAAATGCAAAAATAAAAATAAAATTGCAAAAATCATAGACTTCCACTCCATAACCATATTATGATTTCAAGCTCTTCAGATTTGGCTGGGGTTATGTTTAAGGAAATAAAAATTGAAAAGCAATCTTCAAAAATTATGTTAAGAGCATTTGTTTGGCCATAATTTTTAAATAAACAATCTTTTTATCCCAACTCAAATCCATTGATCAAATTACAACATAAAACTGTAGATCCCAACTCAAATCCATTGATCAAATTACAACATAAAACTCTAGAGACACCATAAAGAAGGAGACACTCACATTTCAAGAAATACTACGTCTTTTTGACAAAAAAGAGTGACGCATGAGAAAGAGGATTCTGGATAAACTACATCCAGACCATGAAATGCATGAGAAAATACCATCTATCTCCATTTCCAAAAGCACAAACCTAATCCTAAACATCTCAGCCGTAATTGCTAACTTCACAGAGCAAGATTCAAGCATAAAGCCCTCTAGAATTGAATACAACAAGATCCACCACCCCCACCTAAGTTAAGAAATTTCAATATGGGACTTTGATGAACAACTTGCAGAGGAAAATGCTTCTTCTTTAAATTCAGAGTCTTCTGATAATGATGTTGGTAAAAGGACAGTTGATTGAAGAGATAAAGATTTAGCAGACCAAGATAAGGAATCCCTGGAAATGGTTTTTTATTATAGCCTTGGAAAAATATATAATAAAATTTTTGTGCAAGAATTAAATATGGGTGATCATGGGTGCTCATGGGTTTAAAAAGCAAAATTCCCAGCGATCTTTTACCTGCGATCTACAGAGAGAGAACGTCACCAACACTGCTCAATATTTAAATGCGAATTGCAATGCACATCTAAATATGAACCACACCTGCGAGTTTTCAATGCATAGTTAAATATGAATATTGCCATAAATTATGAATTGCAAAAAATATGGATCGCACTATTAGCAACAATATTTCCAAAAAAAGATTTCACAAAGAAAATAAGAAGCAAATTACATATAAAATGACAGATTTGCAAATTTTCAGCAAGCATCATAAACTAAAAGAAATTAATAAAAGCAAGAAATACAGATTCTCAGCAGGCATCATCAATAAATCACAAATTGATCCCTAGTTACAGAATTTCTGGCTTTTAGCAATATAAAAATGAAACAAAGTAAAATAAAAGCAATATTAAATCACAAATCGATGCGTAGTTACAGAAGCATCGTACATTGAAACAAATAAAAGAAAGAAAACTACAGGGAGCTAATAAAAACCCTAAATCGACTGTTATGCATACCTGATTTGCCTACTGTCGAATTCTTGTTCTTCCTTTTCGATTTCTTGCCTTCCCTTTGATTTCTTGTTTTTCTCAGAGAGGCAAAGGCTTAAACTAAAGCCTCTAATCCCCAGAGACACAGAGAGAGGAGTTTCGTGGGTAAAGAGAATGATGTCGACAATTTAAAAAAGCCAAGTATAAACCAAAAAAGGGAAGGTAATAACAGTTAATGAAACATCTTCAACAACCCGATTTCACATCCCACGGTCAATAATTAATGATTGTGACTTTATATCAAAAAGATAATGATCGCAATATATACATTTCCTAAAAATAAAGCCTTCCGATCCGTGCCGTCCATTTCTTTTAGTTTGCCTTATAAGCACACATCCATGTGATTAATTGGACCGGCTTTCAAACTAATAAAGGGTATTGTCAAATCTCAAAAAAAAAATTGACCAACTGCTAGACCAAAAAGAAGAAGATAAGGTTGAAATATAATTTAAAAACATAAAATATATTTTAATAAAAATTGCCAGATTTCTTAATTGGTAGGACCAATGGTTTAAAAACCGGACCGGTGACTCGGATCGGGCTTTTCAAAAACCGATCCGGATCGGCGAATCGGCGATCCGGATCGGCGAATCGGCGATCCGGATCGGAATCGGGTGAATCGGTCAGAATAAAGCTTCAAAAAAATCCGAAAAAATTATTAAAATTCATTATAAATATTGGTTTTTAGGAATTCAATAAAAAATGAGGATACTCCATTAAGAATTTTCATGTTTTTGAATGAATATGCAAATATTGATATGTTCTTTCCCTGCATGAACCGCCG